CGGCCGTCTCGGGGCCCTCTTCGGCCATGCTGGAGCTGCCCTCGTTGCTTTCCGCGTCGAGTGTGCTCTTGTCTGCCTCATCCTCGCGGCTCCTGTCTGCCTCCTCCCTCCCCCCATGCTCGTCCAGGGTTCAGCCCTGTTCGGGCTCCTCGGTTTCAGGGCAGCCTTCACTGCTCTCCATGCCTGTGAGTTGGTTGGAAAAAGTATCATGCCCTGCACCTGCTCCTGGTCCTGCCCCTCGTCTTCCCGTCTCCCGCTTCCCCCTCCTTTTATCGCTCCCCCCCTCGCCTCGCCTGCGCGACCCGCGCGAGACTGTCCTCAACTCAACTCCCTCGGCCTTCCCTTCTCTTTCACGTCGCCGCCCATGCTTATCGCAGGCGAGGGTGATGGGGGAAGAGAAGGGAGGGGAGGGGAGCAGTTAGTGGTAGGAGGTCGAAGGATTGCAGGGAGGTGGACCAGCTGAGGAGAAAGGGGCGAGTGGCGAGTGGCGGAGGAAGAGTGGAGGAAGCCAGGGGAGGGAGCAGAGGGGAGTGGGAAGATGGGGAGGGAGGCAGTCGTCCTCCGAGAAGGGTGAGGGGGCATGGGTGGGTGGGGGGGAATGGGGAGACACTGGCGGTGCTCCCCTGCGTGCAGAGGCCATCACCGTCACGGCTTCCATGACGGCGGGCACGACACTGCCAAGGCGCGGGGAGGGCATTTGCCTCGTGCGCCTTCTGCTCGCCTGCTCACGCTGCCGTCGTCCTTCCCCTCCTCCTCGTCCTCCTCATCCTCCTGCATTCTTTTTCCTTATGGATAACTCCTCCCTTTCGCACCCCGCAGCCAGTTTTTAGGGCGGGCTGGGCTTTTCGCATGAGACTTCCTCACCATTTATGACTCTGAAGCTGAAAAGTGACAGCCGTTTCACAGATGGAGGGCGGGTCGCTTTCACAATGTAGCTCTCGCCTAAGCGCCGCGCGCATTCGTTAAAACAAATTGCAAGAGTTTCACGGATTGAGGGCGGGTGGTGTTCAAAATGCGGTTCTCGCCTTAGCGCCGCGCACATTCGTTGTAAATAATTGCAAGAGTTTCACGCGTTGAGGGCGGTTCTTTTTCAAAATGTGACTCTCGCTTTCACGCCGCCCTCATTTTTTTTTTTTGTTCGGGTGGTTTTCAAAATGTGGCCTTCGCCTTAGCCCTGCGTACATTCGTTAAAACATGCAAGAGTTTCATGGCTTGAGGGCGGGTGGTTTTCAAAATGTGGTTCTCGCTTTAGCGCCGCGCACATTCGTTTGACAAGAGCACAAGAGTTTCACGGATTCCCATGATCAGCGCACCAGAAATGGCGTTTTGGAAAGATTCAGGATCATGTGGGTGCGACAGTTATGTTGATTCGCTGTTTTGAAGTTCCAACAATGGCGTTCTGCCACGATTCTGGATCGTCAAGACGCATCAGTCGATTGATACGTGGCGTTGAAATCCCGAGAACAATATTTTGGCACGCTTCAGGATCTTCAAACTGTTGTTTTCCAACGAGGCAGTTCCCTCAATGGAAATGAACCGTTGTGGGGGCCTATGAAGAGGGAGCGTGGAGGGAGGGTCAATTCCAACATCGTTGATGACTCTTGGGTTTCCACTGGTCCTCCTCCTCCCCCTCCTTCCACCACCCCGTCTCCTCCTCCTCCTCCTCCTCCTCCTCCTCCTCCTCCTCCTCCTCCTTCCCCTCCTCCTCCTCCTCCTCCTCCTCCTCCACCTCCTCCTCCTCCTCCTCCTCCTCCTCCTCCTCCTCCTCCTCCTCCTCCTCCTCCTCCTCCCCCCCCCCCCGCCCCCCACCTGCTCCTCCTCCTCCCGCTCTCTTCTTCTATGTCGGCCCGGTGGCGCGGGAAAGCGGGAGGACGTGAGGCCCTTGCTCTCGAGAAGCTCCTCCCGCTCCTCCCGATTCTGCTGCTGCATGTCCTCCTGCTCTCGCTCCACCTCCTCCTGCTCTCGTTTCTCCTCCTCCTCCGCCTCCTGCTCCTGCTCCTCCTCGTCCTCCCGCTCTTGCTTCTCCTCCTCCCTCTCCTCCTCCTCCTCCTCCTCCTCCTTCTCCTCCAGCTCTTGCTCCTGTTCCTCCTCCTTCATCCTCTCCATCCTCTCCTCCTCCTCCTCCTCCTCCTCCACAGTGTTTCTTTTTTGGGCTTGTGGAGGCCCCGGTGCTCGATGCGCTACTCCAGAGGCCCCCTGAGTACCCCTCTACTCTCGGGCTCTGGGAGGTCCATAACCACCACCTGGGGGATCGATCTTCGGGGACCTCGGCAGGCGTTGGCTATGGACCCAGACCCCCTCGAGTCATGAAAAAATCACGACGCGAGGTTTTTTATGGTTTTCGGCCTCTGGGGGCCCTTAACGGCCCTCGGGGCCGTCAAAAAACGACTCAGGACGAAAAACCGGTCCCGGGGAATGGGTCTGGACCTCTGGGGGTCGACGTCATGAAAAATTCATGACGTCGGGGGTCTGGGGATGCACCCGGGCCCCTTGGGGCCAACCCATATCCACCGCCCGCTGGGGTCCAGGGCGCCTGCTCCAGAGGCGGTGCGTACATGGATACATTCGGCAGCAAGTCATAGGAGATTCTCGTGTGCCCTCGTGATTCTGTCTTTTGCGCCGACTGGCGTCGATGGGCGTCTAGGAGTCGATGAGCTAGCGCCGATTTAGCGTCGGTTGGCCGTCAAGATGGTATGGGATCCGACGAAGGCGTCTATACACCACCACCGCGCCGGGCCAGGGCCATCCTGGGCCTTCGGATGGTGTAAGGATCCTCCTGGCCTCGGCCAGGAAGGCGTACACACCATGCCAGGGCCAGGATGGCCCCGGCCCTGGCCTGGCACGGTGGTGGTGCACAGATGCCCTCTTGCGCAGGGGAGGCTCCCTTGCGTTGCCGCCGAAGCTGCATCCCCGCCTCGCGGCGCGGCCCGCGGGGTCGCCCCACGACGCCTCGGCACGCGCGCCCTTCGCGCAGGGCCCTCCCTGCTGGTTCGGCGGGCTCGCGCCGCCTCGGCGGCGGCGGCGGCCGCGCGGCCGCGGGCGCTCCGGCTCGGGGGGGGGGGGCCCCCGGCGTGCTTGGGGGCTCCCCGGCGGCGGAGGCTGCTCGGGGCCGAGCGGTGTCGCGCAGTGGCAGGTCGCGAGCCGCGGCCGCAGACCCCGGAATGTCTTCAGTGCTGTGCCCCCCCCTCCCCTCCCCGGAGCTCTCGGCGGGGAAGAGGAGCTCGTCCCTCCTCCTCCTTTTTCTCCCTCCCTCTCTTTCCTCCTCCTCCGGCTCCTCCTCCCTCCTCTCTCGCCTTCCTGCTTGCTTGTCCTCTTTCCCCCTGCTCTCCCCACAAGTTTCACCGGTTCCATTGGTGCCACACGCTCCACACGTCCCACAGGTCGCACAAGTCCCAGGGTTCTCGCAGGTCTCGCAGGTCCCATGGGTCTTTCAGGTCTCTAGCAGTGGTAGGAGAGATGACGACGACGGCGGCGGCGACGACTCAAGCGGAGGCCTGTGCGGTGGCCGCCGCGGGGAATATTTATTTTCCAATTATTGTTGGGGTCCCAACCCGTCGGGATAATGCATTCATTTTCCATTCTTGCCTGGGGGCTCATTAAAGACCCTCCAGTGTTATCCATATACAAGCCCTCGTGGATACGCGGTCGCACGGATACGTTCAGAGGGGAGCAGCAGCGAAACAACGCCCTGTATCCACGGGGTCGAGGCGCACCGATACGGTTCTGGTAGGATGATAAGAACGGCTTCCGAGAGGCTTCGTAAATACATCTCTCGTGATTTTTGCCATCAGATGCAGTATGCCCGCAATCTATAGAAACCAATGTGACTTGAACGAAACAACCCCGAATCCGTTAAAGCAAATCACTCACACGCGGCAGCAATTTTTCATCAGCGGAAAAAAACGTATGACGTCACCAATATCGCTGAAACTTATTTGCAATCAGTTTGATTAACAGTTAACCTAGCTCGAAACATCTACAGTTTTGTTTGACATGTTTTGACATCGTTCAGAGTTCTTCATGGCGCACGCTCGTAGCTAGCTAACACAACCTGAACACAGGAACGACGTATAGCCAACTAAGAGCAATCCATGTTTTCATTGAATCATGCATCTTCAGTCTAGCTCACATGTGTCGTCTTACGGGTAGCTCTTGTCTTAGGTCTTAGTCGTAGTAGTATTAGTCGTGGTGATGAAGGTCGTCGTAGTGGTCGTAGTCGTTGTAGTCGTCCTAGTGCAGGCTGTGATGGTACTAGACGTAGTATGAGTAGCAGTGGCAGTAGCAGCCGGTATAGAGATGATATTCGCCGTAGTAGTAGTAGTAGTAGTAGTAGTAGTCGTAGTAGTAGTCGTAGTAGTAGTCGTAGTAGTAGTAGTAGTAGTAGTAGTAGTAGTAGTAGTAGTAGTAGTAGCAGTAGTAGTAGTAGTAGTAGTAGTCGTAGTCGTAGTAGTAGTAGTAGTAGTAGTAGTTAGTAGTAGTTAGTAGTAGTAGTAGTAGGTAGTAGTATAGTAGTAGTAGTCGTAGTAGTAGTATAGTAGTAGTAGTAGTAGTAGTAGTAAGTAGTAGTAGTAGTAGTAGTAGTAGTAGTAGTAGTTAGTAGTAGTTAGTAGTTAGTAGTAGTAGTAGTAGTCGTAGTAGTCGTCGTCGTCGTAGTAGTAGTAGTAGTAGTAGTAGTAGTAGTAGTCGTAGTCGTAGTCGTAGTCGTAAGTCGTAGTCGTAGTCGTAGTCGTAGTAGTAGTATAGTAGTAGTAGTAGTAGTTAGTAGTAGTAGTAGTGTAGGTAGTAGAGTAGTAGTAGTAGCAGTAGTAGTAGTAGTCGTAGTAGTCGTAGTAGTAGTAGTAGTAGTAGTAGTAAGTAGTAGTAGTATAGTAGTAGTAGTAGTAGTAGTAGTAGTAGTAGTAGTAGTAGTAGTAGTAGTAGTAGTAGTTAGTAGTAGTAGTAGTAGTAGTAGTAGTAGTAGTAGTAGTAGTAGTAGTAGTAGTAGTTAGTAGTACTAGTTGCAGGTGTAGTCGTAGTCGTAGTCGCGGTAGTAGTAGTCGTAGTCGTAGGCGTAAGTCGTAGTAGTAGGAGTAGTAGTAGTAGTAGTAGTAGTAGTAGTAGTAGTATAGTAGTAGTAGTAGTAGTAGTCGTAGTCGTAGTAGTAGTAGTAGTAGTAGTAGTAGTAGTAGTAGTAGTAGTAGTAGTAGAATTAGTAGTAACAGTCGTAGTAGTAGTAGTAGTAGTAGTAGTAGTAGTAGTAGTAGTAGTAGTAGTAGTAGTAGTAGTAGTAGTAGTTGCAGGTGTAGTTGTAGTCGTAGTCGCGGTAGTAGTAGGTTGACCGCCATATTGGACAGGCTCACCGGTAGAAACGAGACCGACCAGCGGGTGGAGATGGCATCGCAATTCGGTTTCAGTGTGAAGCCATACACCCAGCCAGTGCAGCCAGTACCGTGGTACAACGGGAAGCAATACCTCATGCCGAGTGCAAAGGCAATGGAGGCGTACTCCCAGCGGGTGCGTGTAGCAAGAATGGCTGCAGTCAAACCGAATAGGTTTAGTGTCGAGGACGAAGAGAAGGCTTCCCTTGGCAGCGTGCTTTCCTTCTTGGCCAGCAAGGCCTCGGATAATCTAGCTGCAAAGAGGGCTCACATTTCCCGCAAGTGCTGCGAGGCCTTGGACAAGCTGATTCCGTTTTCAGACCCCGAGTCAGAGTCACACAGTGTGACATCGATGGGGGCGCTGATTTGCAGAATGCTTGCCGACCCGCAGAGAGTGGGAGCTGTACTCCTTGACAAAGACGACTGCGCATCGGCAACTGATCATGACGACGGAGTTTGCCGCAAAGCAGCGCTGGCCCTGATCCAGAACATCTTTGTCACCAGCTGGGGCAGATGGTCCAACAACAGGGTGTCATGCGTGCTGCTAGCGTTCATGTCCTCAGTTCGCGCGTGCGACCTGTTGACGTGGATGATGCATGAGGGTTGGTTTGTTCTCACTGATGTGGAGTGTGCTGCAGCGATGAAGAATTTCGACGCTTTGGCCAAATCAACAAGAACCACTCCCATCGAGCAGGACAGGCTCCTGCGGGCATCAGAGTATGCGCAGGTCGGGTATCTGCGCAGCCTGGCGTCCAAGGGGCCGTTTCCTTTAGACATGGCAGCAGAGCGAGCTGGGCGCCTCACCATCAATGAGGCACCAATTGCTTATGACTCTGTCAGCCGTCGGTTCACCACCGAGCAAGCTTGGCGGGGTCAGATGGCCACGGCTAACGAGATCCTCTCCCGCGCATCCAACATCCAGGCGAATGTCTACGACATCGCTTTGGACCACTGGCGCTTCGCACAGAGGTGGCTTGCTTCTGGCTCAGCGGGCGCAGGGTTCAAGCTGCCGAGAACGGGCGCACTGACTGTCCCCGACGTGTCCTCACGCGTGGCTGGCCTGTGGGTCGCACTGGCAGAAGCGCGTGCCGCAGATCCTTGGGCTGTTATCGGCGGCGGGGCACCAGAGGAGAAGGCGAGAGCCAAGGCCATCAAGGCGCGCATGCGCGCCTTCACCGACCGTAAGTCCACCGTCGGCAAGAGGGGTGCGATGGACGTGCTGTTGTTGGAAACCGTTGCCACTGTGCTGGCGGGTGTCCTTTCTTCAGTGTCTTCCGCGTCCACGAAGTTCGAGGATCGCAAGACCCGGCTGCTTTTCGCGGCGGGCATATTTGCGTGCGTCATCTACAGTTACGTTCCGGTGCGGATCGCGCGGTGGGCCGAGGCGTTCGAGTGGATCACGTGGCGTCGAACGAGGAGTCGCACGACCATTTCGCGTTTCGGGCGCGGGCGGCAAGCTCGCGGCTGATGCTGACTGAGGCTGTGGGATTTCAGTGATTTCAACGCCCGCCACGGCAACGTAACGCTTGTGTTAGACGATCTGGCTCTGGCGCGCTACTGCGACAAGGGAACCTTCAACTCGAGCCAGATCAAGGAGGACGTGCTCACGGGAACAGAGTGGGTGGCATACTTTTTCAACAATACCAGCACCAGCTGGAATGATGATGAGGCAAGGGGTGAGACCGCTGACTCTCACGGCTATAGTGACTCGGGCCTCAGCTCAGGCGTGAAGGGCACCGCGTTCAAGAACGGCACCGAGAACTTGCAGTGCAACTCGTCCATGCGGGCGAGCTACCTGCGGTTGCATGGCATAGACCCGGTTGAGTACGAAAGAGACAAGGGCGACCACGTCTTCCAGGCAGGCACGGCCTTCTGGGAGGACGTCGCGCGCTTCGACGACCTCTGCCGCTTCTGCGGGCGCGAGGGGGCTGACCTCGAAGTGCTCCAAGGGCTGGGCTGGGCAGAATACCTGCGGGCTCTGTGCGATGAAGAGGGTGAAGTGTCGGGGTGTGTGCTGCGGTCCATCGCTGTCATGGTGGTGGGCAGCTGGCAGAACAGTCCCGCGCGGGACGGGCCCCAGATGGTGGCCGCACGCGCAGGTCTGGTCGACCTGTGTATCAGGCGTCACGCATCAGTTGCCTTCGCCCACATAGCACAAGAGACGTGGTCCAGATATTGGGGTCGGGTCTCGGTGAGGACGAGCGACCAACCGCCCGAGCTGCGAGCGCTCGCCGGGCAACGTATGCCCGGGAAGCGCGCTGAGGCAGTTTCGGGTGGGATCCCCAGGTCAAAGAGACAGTTTTCCGGGTTGGCACCCGCGTGGATCGCGGCCGGCCGGCTGCTGAATGGAGCGGACGTCGCGCGAGTTGATGACAGGTCCCCGAAGTGGTCAAGGTGCTGTGCCCATGCGAGCGACGTGGGCGTGGACGGCTACCGCGCGAACTGTCCGTGCGGGGGTGCGCGCTACGGTGTGGCCCCCTTCCTTCGCAGAGCCCCAGAGCGGCCAGCTCGTGCGGCTGCCAATCCTAGGGTACTGGGCTCTATACCACACGAGGCCTCGACGGCACGCGTTAAACAGGTTTGCAGGGTGCGCCCCGCTTTCGCAGGCGCCTCAGCGCGTCAGCGGGGGCAGGTGCAGCGCGCCGCCCAGAGTGGCAACTACGGCGCCAGCCTGCCCGCGGCCGAGGCGGCTTGCATCAGCAGGCTGAATGACATCCCAGATGCAGCGTGGGCTGTGCTCACACAGTCCTGGGCTGAGGAGTGCGAGGCCATGGTGCACTCGCGCCCCGCGTGGCGTGCTTGCACGCCTAACGCTTGGACCGGCATCGCGCAGAGAGTCGAGGCTGCCCGCCGGAAGGCGGTGGCAAAGGCGCTCAAGATACATGGTTTGGTGAGCTGCGCTGCAGATGTGTCCTCGGAGGCCAACCAGTGGGTGGTCGAGGCGCTGGCGCCGAGCTCAGACGCCAGCTGTGCTACCAAGTGCAAGGCATTGAAGACGCTTGTGGGGGGGGGGGGGGGGTCAGGCGACCCAGGCGCAGGGCGGGCTGACTGCGCCGTCTGCAGGCGCAGGGAAGCCGCCGCCGCGCAGCGTGCTGGGGCACGCTGGCTGGCCGACGCAGCTTGGCACTGCGCCCTCGACGTGATGAGGGCCGCGGTCTATGCCCCACTGTATGGCTCGAACAGATCGACTGAGCTGGTTCCCCGCGGAGGGTGGGGCCACGCGCTAGGACTGGGGGCGGAGTCTCAGCTGGGGCGGAAAGATGCAGTCATGGTGGCCGTGCGCCAGCGCGACCGCTGCCCATGGAACCCTCCGCCCACGGCTGAGGGGCGGGCTAGCGGGAGCTGGCTCAGCTCTCGGCTGCGCACTGTACTGGAGGGCCTCATCGCGGACTCCAAGCTAGACGCCTTCTGCCGGATCTCCGGGTTCATGACCCACGGGGCAGCCTCCGACTGGTGTTGGGGCGCCCTGCTGCTGTCGAGGAAGTTATATGCCCCGCTCGGCAACTTGCCAGCTGTGGCGCTCTCTGCCAGCACCTTGCGCGCCATCGAGGAAGCAATCCCGGAACTGCCGGGGCCCGACCTCGACTTGCTCTTCTTAGGCAGGCACCAGCGCGAGCAGGCGGTCGCGCGCCTCACCCGGCGATTGGTGAGGTGTGCGCTGGAGGGCCGCCGCTTTGCTCTAGTCCAGGGGGCCCAGTCTACGGCGGTGTTGGTACCGTCCGTGGTAAAACGCAAAAAGTAGTAGTAGTAGTAGTAGTAGTAGTAGTAGTAGTAGTAGTAGTAGTAGTAGTAGTAGTAGTAGTAGTAGTAGTAGTAGTAGTAGTAATAGTAGTAGTAGTCGTAGTAGTAGTAGTAGTAGTAGTAGTGGTAGTGGTAGTGGTGCCGCGTGACCAGTCAGCGGTGTTGGCACCGTCCGTGGTAAAACGCAAAAAGTAGTAGTAGTAGTAGTAGTAGTAGTAGTAGTAGTAGTAGTAGTAGTCGTAGTAGTAGTAGTAGTAGTAGTAGTAGTAGTAGTAGTAGTAGTAGTAGTAGTAGTAGTAGTAGTAGTAGTAGTAGTAGTAGTAGTAGTAGTAGTAGTAGTAGTTAGTAGTAGTCGTAGTAGTAGTAGTAGTAGTAGTAGTAGTGGTGGTGGTGGGGTGTGGGGGGTTGGTTCGGTGCGTGGTGGTGTGGTGGGTGGTGGTGGTGGTGGTGTATGTAGATAGTAGTAGTAGTAGTAGTAGTAGTAGTAGTCGTGGTAGTCGTAGTAGTAGTAGTAGTAGTAGTAGTAGTAGTAGAAAAAGAAGAAGAAGTAGTAGTCGTAGTAGTAGTTGTAGTAGTAGTAGTAGTAGTAGTCGTAGTAGTAGTAGTAGTAGTTGTTGTTGTTGTAGTAGTAACAGTTGTTGTAGTGGACATAGTTGTGGCAGTAGTGGTAGTAGTAGTAGTAGTAGTAGTAGTAGTAGTAATAGTAGTCGTAGTAGTAGTAGTAGTAGTAGTAGTAGTAGTAGTAGTAGTAGTAGTAGTAGTAGTAGTAGTAGTAG